CAGACTATCATGTGGAAAAGGAACCTTCCCTAGCATTATTCAACATAATTTATAAGTAGTTTAGAACAATGGTAATTTTCAGTGCTGATATAGTTAGTAAATGTTTCAGATATCTGTTCAGTTTTACAAATATTTTAGTTTTCGTGGGATTATATATGCAATACATGTGTTAAAAATGATTCCAGAGAACCATGTGATATGTAAGTGAATAAACAACAATTGCGACTTGATAAATTCAGGAGTTTCTAGATTAAGAATTTTAAGTGCCATGAAAAGTGTAATTGAAAGTTAAGCTTGAGGTGGCATTTTGATCTGCTTGCTATTATGCATAATGTGAATGTGTAAGCAGAGAATTCTATCCTGGGGTTCTTTTTGTTTTGGTTTGTTTTTTAATCATCAGTGATCTTTTCCTAAATTTTTTTCAAATAAAGTTAAAAGCAATTTAATACACAGATAGTCAAACTTCTCTTGCTGCAAGCTGGAATGACCCACTTAGTGTCAGAAGCAGGTGGGCAGGTGCTAGCACCTTGCCATTGTGCTGCCACTTGTACCCCTTGCTGAATGCTACTGGAACCCTACATCTGCCAGGTGGATCCAAAGATTCCGTGGGCCAGATCTGACCCACAGGCCATAGGTTGCCCACTCTTCATTTAGTAAAACTGGCACAGATGTGATTCATGATAGGGAAGATAGATGTAATACAGGCTATTCCCTTAGTAATTTGCTTTTCCTGTGGTACACAGGGTTTCATTGTGTCCCTCAATAAAGCAGGATGAGTACAACAAAATGTATATGACTACCTAGATCTGCTGCTCCAACTGTCTGCACATTAGCAGAAGAAAGAAATAGTATTTTTACCCAAAGGCACACTGAACATTAAAGGGTATAGCTCACTTGAGCAGAATTTAGTTAATTATTGTGAGTCATTTAACAACCCCACATGGGAAACTGGTAATTTGTTCTCTAGATCAGTGGATCTGGGGGTCTGCAGACTGTATCTAAGAGGTCTGTGAAAGATGACTATGAACAATTAAAAGTATGTTAATACCCACACTTGCAATTCAAAAGGGTCTGCTCCTCCATTTAAAATCTTTTAGGGGGTCCACAAATAAAAGGTTGAACTCTACTGCTCTAGAACATGAAGATGTTGTTCACAATCCTTTAAGTGGTAGGGCTTCAAAATGTCTGCACTAAAAGTATATAAATTGGGCTAATTTCCCCGTAGTATCCTTTGCCCTGGTTCACACAGTCCATGAATTTAGAGAGAAGCCAGCTTTGAATTTGGCAAAGTCTATTTCAGCCCCAGAACATCTTGGTGAAATGTTACATGTTTAACAAAACAGGATTTTTCAACTGCACACTGAAAATTTTTTGTTGAAATAACCTGCTCACAGATAAGTGAGGTAGCAGTGGTCTCTTGCCAGCTGCAAAGCCACAGTTATCTGACAGTATTTTGTAGGCAGTGCAGCACAGGTATTTATTAATAGAAGTAATAGTAAAGATTATGAGTTCGTTGATGTGAGAATTTGTCCCCTTTTTGTAGAAGTAATTAAGTAAAATACTTCTAACTTATAGACTTTAATAAAGAGGGCCTAATGTAAAATAAATGGGTTTAGACATGTGAAAATGTTAATATTGATTCTATGAAGTAACTTTATATGTTATTTTTCTTTTTTAACAGAAAGAAGAGAAGTCATCAGTGAGTTTTCCCTCTATTCTTAGCCATATAACTTCTACTTTCATAAATCATCCTCTAATTCCAATGACTACGTATGCGGACTCAGGAGCTCCACAGATGCTGAATGTCTTTTCTCCATTTACTTCTTCCATGCCTTGTGACATACATGTGGTTAATCTAAGAACAATACAATCAAAGGTATGTTCAATGTGGTAATTTAATAAACAGATATTTGATATTTCAAATATGGTTTTTAATTCTGAAAAACTAATTTATGAATCTACATAGAATGAGACAGCCTGGTGCACCCACATATGTGGTTTCCTATGGAGCTGACTAATTAGCTCTACATTAAAGCGTTGCTGCTTACACAAGTGCCGGTATTAGGGCACAGTAAATTAATTTACTCTGCTGTAAAATCATACCGTCGGGGACAGTACTATCTTACCGTGGAGTAATTCACTGCCAAAATGCTCATGTAGACAGATGGGAATCAAGGACAAGTCCTCCTTCCAGTACATAAGGAACAGGAGGAAAACAAATGGTGGTTGGCTCTGGATTTAAGATCCAGATACCTTGTTCAGTGCAGGGAGACCCACCCTCAGACCGACCACAACCTTTCCATTTGATAATAGGTAAATGTATTGATACATAGTTATAACAAAAAGAAACAATACAAACAATCAAGCAATTCTATATATCTACCAAATCCTAGGGCTGTCATCAGACTCAAAGTACATCTGGTCAGGATACAGGCTCCACTCTGAGGCTATCTCTTAGGTGTCAGATGTCAGCATGGCATGTCAGCATTTTGGAGGTGGGATGCCAAGTCCCACAGCCCCCCTCTAGTGGAGTGCATGTGATGGGTTGCTGGTATGCCCTTGGTCCATGGTGGCCTTGGAGACCCTTCTCGGGCAGGAGAAGGAGGAGGAATGGGGAGGGATGGAAGGAAGAGAAGGAGGGACTCTGTTACTCTCAAGTCTGCTTTTGTGTACTCCTTCCCTCTTGATGACTCCTGATTACTCTTCATCTGTGGCTATCTTTGGTTGGCAGTCTCTGTGGTCACACGTCCACATTGCTTTCTGGGACCTCTCTTACTTTGGTCTGTTCCCCTAAAACCAGGACTTAGCCCCCTAACTTCTCTGGGGCCTTGTAGGTGGTGTCACTTATCTCATGTTATGGGCAATATGAGTGAATGAAAGGGACCTGAGGGTAATAATTGACCACAGGTTAGGTTATGTAGGTCAAAGCTTTACATTTCATCTTTCTCTAGACCACTAATTATCTGTCACTGAAGATTTCACTCCTTTCCTCTCATGACCCAGTTTTCTGAACAGTTCAAACAAGGTAAACAAAGTAAAGTAGTCAATATGGAAGGCCAGAATCCATTTAGCTATTCATTAGGAACTGTCTGTAATACTTTGGAAACCACCACAAGATCAATAGCAGTGGCTTTAAGCTCTGCCATTTTCTGTGTACCTAGCTAAGGACCTCTGGCCTCTTTCTCAAATCCAGGATTTTAGACCTGGCTTTTGGAAGGTCATATTCTTTACAAGATGATGATGAAACTCAGGGAAAACTAGCCAGCAGTGAAATCCTTGATCTGAGTATTTTTGGGGAAGGGGGAATGTTCTCTGTAACAAACAGTTGTAAAGGCCTCAATTAATTTTCTGAAGCAGTCTCAGGACTTAAAACAACAAAATAATGCCCAATAGATAGGACAACCATCCTCCTCATTTCTCAAGTCACCTGTGAGCTCAGGAAGTCCTGTCTTTGATTCCAGGTACTATCCCTTCCATCTTCCTCATGTGGAGATTCTTTCATTTTCCTTGCATTGTGGACTAATATAATTTTATAGTGTTAGGTTTCAAAAAGGGTTATGTCAGTTTCAGCTTTACTACTTCCTGTTGCCCAAGTCCCCTTCAACATCTTTTTCAGAGATCAGTTTAATGAAATACCTATAAAGAGGCCAAATAGATTATCTTAAATAGGAAAAATAGAATGGATATTTTATAATATATAGAAAAAGGAATTTCATTCTTGATCTTTCCATTTTACAAAGAGCAATGGTTATTGTCCTGTATTAGACATAAAGATGCTTTATATCAGAGGTTCTCAAACTGTGGTCTGCAGAAAGCTATTTTGGTTATAGAATGAAATTTTAAGTGATACAAGTTGTGGAAAGAGAGAAGTTTAGAGCAGGTGTAGTGCATAAGTGACTCTCACTGTATGTGGTTTAAAGAATAGAAAAATCATAATTGGAATATTTATTCAGAATTTCATATTGTAATTTAGCAGGCGCTATCCCTTTTGCAAATTTGAAAAACTGGTAAGTGGTTTAAATATTTTTAGGGCATACTTCCATATTTTGGATCATGAGCAGTCATAGGAAGCATCTCAAATATGGAATGACTACCACCCATATTAGCTACAGCTGTTTTTTTTTTAATTATGCCGCCTGTTGCCTATGGAAGTAATGACAGTATATATAAGGGAAAAGTCTGCACTCCAGTCACAAAAGTGACTGCATTGTGATGTATTGATACCCAAGCCAGGTTCAGTATTGCTAGCTTTGGTACTCCCACTAGTGTAGCCATAGTGTGTGGGCTAATTTATCTTGTCTCATCACAGTATTAAGGTACTACATCTGACATTATTTTGGTTATTGGCTCACTGAGGACTTGCCCCCCAAAAATTCTTCTCTGCATAGAGTGTGCCTCTCATCATAATGGACCATGAAAAGGCCAACTTCATCTGAGTCAAGATTTCCTTCTAATGGAGTATCTCTGAATTGTAGAACACCTTTTTCTCTCAGAAGAAAACTATATAGACTGGAGTGTCCAAGATAAGGCACGGAGGCTGAATCTTACCATAGGCCCCTATCATCTGGCCCTCAGTGTTGCCCGGAGTTAACCCACAGGCAGCATGTGAGGTGCACCTATGGCTCCATGCACTGGACATGGCTGCTGCTTTAGGTCATAATCTGGAGTGGTTGCTGTATACAGCACAGCCCTGGAGTGGCTGAATGTGACGCGCCACATGCAACACCTGCTTCAGCCACTCCAGGGCACGCACTGGATGTGGAATGTGGGTCTTAGGTGTGGGTCCAATCTGGCCCATGAACCAGCCCCAGGTCAGATGAGTTTAACGCTCATGATAAAGACTTCCAAAAGACATTTTCTGTAAGCAGCGTTCAGAAAATATCCATCAATATTTCATATATTCTAGGTTTTATGGCCTCTGTCTTGGCTTGCAAAATTAAATTCTGCATTAGATTTTGAACCTTCCTTTAGGTTTATATGCGAGATGTGTGCCCCTGTCAGATATCCCATATGCCTGGGGATGGAAACAGACATGCCTTTTTTCACCTTTGTGCTGCCATAAACATTTTTACAGAGTGACAGAAAATAGTCATACCTTCATACCTTTCTTCATGCCACAATATGGCCTTGGCAAAAGGTAGCAATACATTGTGTGGCATTATTGTGGCAGACATCTATTTTCTTTATGGCAGGAAAGTGCAGGCAGCACTAACTACCTGCACACTCCTCCCATAAAGGAAGTAGATATTCTTGGGACTTAAGGGCCTTGGTCCTGCACACCCCAGGAATTCCCATGCAGGTTTGAGCCCCACAAGTCCCAGGTGTGCCTGCCCAGCTTTCTCTGCTTCCAGAGACATGCTCCTGGTAACCTCCAGGATGTGTCTTTGCAAGTGGGAATAGTTGGGATTTCCTGCTTCTAGAGACTCATCCCAGAGATTGCTGGGGACACATCTGTAAACCAAAGAATCCTGACTTTCCCTGCTTCCAGCGATGCATGCCAGAGATCTCAGTGGCCCATCTTGGGACATGGGGACACTCCAGTGCAGCCCTGGGGCTGCCAATCAGCAGTTCACACCAGAGCATCAAACTTACTCCAATGCAGTCCCAAGGCTGAAACTGCCAGTCAGCTGATTGGCAACATCAGATCCAGGACTACAGCAGTGTCCTGGCTTTCTTGGCTTCCAGAGATGTGCCCCCTGAAATCTCTACAGTATGTGGGAATACATAACTTTCTCCACATGTCTCAGTGGAGACTGTCTGCTGAGTGTGTCACTAGACCTGCATGTTTTTTCATTAATTCTGTCTGCACAGCTATAGATTTCATTGGTTTCCATCTGTAATATGTGTAATAGTCTTAAAGACTTGATCTTGGATGGTCTGCTTCCCAACCTCACAGGAACATATTCATGTACACTTACTGCAGATACAAACACTATGAAAGCACCTCCCACAAAGGGACTCCTGCTTCTTATGTAGCTCTACATTTAGGATTCCCTGAAAGTTGGCAGGATGTTGCCAATTTGAATCTAGCACTAACTTTAATATCCTGTTGTCATTAACAATATCTGTTTCAGTACTGTATCTTTCTTCAGCACTGAAGCTATTCATGGCACTGTCTGTCCTAGCCACTAATACTTCCTTGGAAGGAATTACCACTTTTTGGATAAGTAAAGTCACACTCTTTCAGAAAGTCTTAATAAGTTACCTGTCCTCACCAAAAGACCAGATAGGCAACTCTTTTGCATCTAATCCCCTTTTTGTTGGTTTTTGCAGTTTCATTTTGAAAATAAAATGGCCATTCCTATTAGTCCAGGCCTGCTTCATCCAGCCAAGGACATTTGGTGTGCTCTGTTCTGTTAAGTTTGGTGTTTTTTTAGGTACTGATGAAAAAGAGAATATACTCAAGAAGAACATAACCTTATGAGAAGTACATAACCTTACAGAAAGTTACAATTTTTTACTCCCAGCTTCCTTTGGTGAATATGCTGGTTATAGCTGCTTTACTTGAATGTTCCAAAGGTAATCATTCCTCTTGCCTTTGGTCAAAGATGGGCCATGGCATAAACTGGATATTTCTGGCAAAAAAACCAATTTGCCTTCCTTTTGCACTTTCATATAGCTAATATCTGGCTGTCATGTCCCAGTTTAACTGTGCTGTGGAATGATGTGAGCCCTGTTTTGGGATCCTTGTCAGAAAAGGAAAAAGCAGTTGCTAAAACTTGATTGCTGAAGGTTGAATAAGAAGGGAGAACTCACTGAAATAAATTTGAAGCCTCAGATATTAGCATGCGTATTCTGGCCATGTGTAAAAAGTATTGCTCTGGATTAAGGTCTTCTGGCTTCAATCCTGAGTCAGAAAAGAACGGCCATGGAATT